GCCCTCCGCGCCTCGCGGCGGCCCGCGCCCGGCAACCCGACGCCGCGGACGAGCCCACACGGCGGGATCCGGCCCGGCCTCGGCCACTCCACCCGCGGGGGACACCGTGGTGTCTTCTCAACTTCAAGCGGCCGGGGACCTCACCCGAGGGCAGCAGGGGCCCCGCACGCGGCGGGCGCTGCGCCCGAGCCAGGCCTCAACCCCAGCACGAGGCGCAGGGCCTTCCGGAAAAGCCCAGGCCGGGAACCGCACCACGTCCAGCCCGAAGTTCGAGGTCAGGAGCCGCGTGAGGGGGCTCCGCGGAACGGCAGCCGAGGGGCACGCGAGGCCGGGGCCCGCCGCGCAGGCCCGGCCCGGAGGCCACACTCGCGCTCACCTGTGTTCTGGCGGCAAACCCGTTGCGAAAAAGAACGTTCAGGCTGACCACGGCGCTTATATACGGTCTTTCCCCCCTCGGAAAAGGGGGCGGGGCCAGCACACGACGCGCTTTCCCAGCTCTCCCCGCGCCGCCGCCCAGTGCACTCGCAGCCCCTCCCCCACTCTCGGGGACCGTGCGCCATGTGCGCTCAGCCCGCTGAAGAGCACACCTCGCTTCGCGCATGCTCCTCTCGACCCCGATGACGACGAGAGCCACGGGGAGGACCGAGACGCACGCGCCCTCAGTTCTAGGTTAGTGGGAGTTTAACGACGGTCCCTGGGATTCCCCCAGGCAGAGGCGAGTCCTCTTTTTGTATGAATTACCCTCAGCACCAGCGCGGGGTGCGGCGGGGAGAAGGCGGCTGGCGGGCACGTCCACAATCTTCCTGTACCATTCCTGGTTTAACTGCAAAGATGGTATCGATATTGGGGTGTCCCTTCATCCCGCAATACACCTACCGTCCTCAGTCCTGCCCTCTCGAGGGTCCGGAACAAGCCCCTCCAGCCGCTTCCTCCGCCCTCCGCGCCCCGCCCGACCTGAGGGGAGTGCAAGGCCCGAGACCCGGGGCCCCCTGCCCGGTCCGAGAGCCGCCCGCCGTTCAGCTTGGAGGCTGTGAGCCCGACGGATGTGCTCCCGGGCTGGCCTCTTGGCTGGTTCCGTTCAGAGCCAGCTGCTTTTATCGAAGGCCGCATCACATGTTCGCCCGGTGTGGTCTCCACATGCCCAGTGTTTCAGTTCAGAACAGAGTTCATTCCTACAGTTTGCTTTACTTCTAACTCTAGTTTTGTTACAAAAGAGACCCTGAGTGGGTGTGTCTACCCTGGTGGTACATTTTTTTCCACTGTACACTCGATTGCACGCATGAAATACCCAAAAAGAATTTTTCAAATTCAGTCTTGCCACATGATCTCATGTAGAGGCTAAGAGCTACAGCCTCAGCAAGATTATCCCTCGCGTTTTCCTGTCCCCAACACTTGCTGTGAAATCACCGCTTCTCAAAAATGGCCTATCCTATTTAAATAAATGGCTTCATTTTCTGTCCTATTGATTGTAACTGAATTTTAGCATAAATCTAGGGCGAAATCTGATGAGGCCTTTTTGGTTGACAATCAGGGCAGACTGAGAAATACTCCTCTGAAAAAATAAGAACGTGTATTTTTAATGAGCTAATTACAAGAACATTATGTCTTTTCTTCCACGTATAGAACATCTCTGCAACTTCTCGAGGCAATCTGTTAAATATTTGAGAACCTACTAAGTGTCCAGTGCTAAGCGAAGCTCTGTGGCATGTGAAAAAGAAATACTTCTTTTTGGAGAGGAACCCACAATCAAATTGGAAGAGGAAAACAAACATAAAAAATTGGGAAGCAGTTAAAGACAAACTTGTATGCTGCTTACTACTTCATTGTAGAATATAGTTCTTTCAGTTCTCACAATCTAAATGCCTTTTTTTCTTTTTAAATGAAAGAAGCCTTCTAGAATAGCCTTCCTTTATCTTTTTTTTTTACCATTCCTTGTACATATAAACTTCTAAAAATCAGGTTTTTCCATTTCTTCATTAGGTTTCTATCCTTCTCATTTTAACTTTGAGATAGTTTTCATGAAAGAAACGAGGCCATATAAAGTTTCCCTAGAAATACATATAACTAATATTTTTCTAGCAACAAAAGCCTTTTCTATAATGTCTATATTTCTAATTTCTGTCTTCTCACAAATTCTTCTTTCACATTGCATTTTCCTAGTGCCCTTACCCAGGTATATACATGTAGAATAAAATTATCTTGATATGCTAGTCCATGTGTGTAATAAGATAAAGATGTAAGAAGTAACAGTGAAAATCAACTCCTAGCAATAGACCAATGCAAATACTTCTGCTCTTATTTCCTTGGAAATATTAATTACTATTCTCTTTGGAACTAAATTCCCATATAAGCTATATTTGTATATCACAGTAATATTAACTGCACACTGTGTTATTTCAGATTAAGATCAAAGTGCCAGATTTATTATTTTTCATGCCTTCTAATAGGAATGGCAAAATTTTAAAAATGTAAAGAAATGGTTATTTAGTGACACGAGGGAAGGAAGCAAAGACTAAAGAAGACTACAAGTTGAATATTTGAAAGTTTTACATGGAATCCAGAATTGTAGTTAACATCTAAGGAAAAAAAGTCAAAATGAAAGTGGATGTTGGTAAGAGGGAAAAGTATCAAAGATAATTTCAGTTCAGTAAAATAAAAGTGAAAAAAGTGATCTCTGTGAAATATGCACAATTCATTAAAATGTGACCGTGCAAACTCAAGTACTTTTATATAATACTAAAATTGTGATAATTGGAGAGATAAATGCTTTCAGGTGAATTATTCTGTTTGAAAAGATAGACCTACTATAATTTAAATAGTAATCTTTGTAGATGTGTGTGTATATTCAGCACTATGTCGGACACGGGAATTCTTTAAGAGATGACCACAAACATTTCCACAGGAGCTTATAAAAACTACAGGTCCTGATTCAGATGTCACCTTTTCATTTTCCTAGTTGCACCTTGACTGCTTTGGATGGTGAAAAAAAAAAATCCAACATTCCAAGTATAATTAAAGTAATGAAATGATCCGAAAGTGTTCCAGGAACAAATAATGGCAGCTGAATTTTTATTATTATGCCCAGAAAGAAAGGAAAATTGAAGAAGTTTGACTCCAAAGCTATCCCAGATTATAGGCAAGTTTTCCGCAAGGCCCGGTGATTGCAGGTGACAGTATACACTTTATAAACACCTTCTAGAGAATTCTTTAACACAGCACCTAAGGAAGAGCAAAGTTATACATAGTCTTTGATTTTTATGTAAGTAACCTACCGGGCACCACTGACTGGTGCGAGGGCCGCCGAGACTTGGGCGGGGGCGGGGGGGCGTGTCTGGAGCCATATTGTGAGTAAGGGTTGGACACGGGTCACAGCCTCTTCTCAGGGCCCGGCGCCCACTTCTGCTCTCGGCCGGGGCCGGGCCCCGAACCAGGCGGCGGCGGGGGCGGCGCTGCGGTCGGGCGCCCCGCGCCGCGCCCACACCTGCGCCCCGGCCGCCGCGGCCCCGCCCCCCGGAGGTCCCTCTGGGCGGTCCTCTGACTGCGGAAGGAAGCGCCGGGGAGGAGACAGAAAACCCCGCGTGGCTGGGGGGGTCGGTTTCTTCACCGTGGCGTAGCCTCTAAAACACTGAAGCAGATGTTATTTTCTTTTTAAAAAGTCCCTTTCCCCAGGCCCTATGTTTTAAACATAATCGTAGCGCATTTTGTCCGACTTGACAGCAGATACATTATGCCTTTTACTAACTTACATGTTAAAACGCAACGGTAACATTGTTGAGACTTGTAAATGTGTTTTGGGGTCATAATCTAAGGTCATATTTTGCTTAAGATTTTCCTTAAAGTTGCTCATACTATTTAGAGTAGCAAACTCTAAAAAAGGATTTTAGTTATTAACTTAGTAAAAGGGTGAACAGTAATAGTTCTTCGATGTTTCTAATTGTGATTCACCAAGCATCTTTCGGTATTGGCTAATCACTCTGCTATTGGGCTTACTTAAAAGCAGCTTTAGGTAATTGCCTTTTGCTGTGGCTTGCCACCTTCCTGTTGCCTGTGCCAATTGAAAATGATCATTTAAAAGGTATTTTTTTTCTCTTTTTGTGTGTGAGGAAGATCAGCCCTGAGCTAACATCCGATGCCAATCCTCCTCTTTTTTTGCTGAGGAAGATTGGCCGTGAGCTAACATCTGTGCCTATCTTCCTCTACTTTATATGGGACGCTGCCACAGCATGGCATGACAAGCGGTGCATAGGTGCGTGCCCAGGATCCGAACCTGCGAACCCCGGGCCACTGAAGCAGAGCGCTCGCACTTAACCGCTTGCACCACTGGGCCAGCCCCCTAAAGGGTATTTTAAAATATAATTAAGCCAAGGAATTATTTGGACTGAGAATCCAAGCATAATGTTACTTCGCTGTGCCAAGCACTGTTCTAATATTTGCAATATTTAATGTAATCCCACTGTTTACTGATGGAGAACCTGTAGGCAACTGATAATTTATGCGTAATAAGCAAATACAGACATACGTTCTTTTTTAAAGTTTCACTTTTTTGCACAAAATGGTAAAGTACTACATATCACTTTGCTTTTTTCATTTAATATATCTTGGAGATCTTTTCTTGTGAATACGTTAAAGCCCAGCCGGGCAGCATTGGAACCCAGGTAATCTGACAGGAAAGTTAGTCTTAACTTGTACCAGCGGGTCTAGGCAGCCTGCTCGAGTGAAAATGGCGGTGGGGTTGGAGTCAGAAGGTTGGGACTCAGTGCTTGCTCTTCTGCTTCCAGGTCTGTGACAGCCAGCAGGGCATCTGTGGCATGGGTCTGCTCCTTACTAACACTTAGCACCTGCCTCACAGTTCTAATGTGCAATGATGTGAAAAGATATGGGGACACTCAATTATCTAGTTCTGTTTTTTTAAATTAATTAATTTCTTTTCTTTTCTTTTTTTTGGTGAGGAAGATTGGCCCTGAGCTAGCATCCATGCCCATCTTCCTCTATTTGATATGTGGGATGCCGTCACAGCATGGCAGATGAGTGGCGTAGGTCTGTGCCCGGCATCTGAAACCAAGAACCCGGGCCACTGAAGCAGAGCATGCCAAACTTAACCACTACACCACTGAGCTGACCCCTCAGTTATCTAGTTAAAACCGAATTTCTACAGGCTTTCTGAAGAACGCCTGGCCTCAATTGGTATGCCTTGTGACACAAACTTGACTCAGTAGAGAAAATATACTCATTGGTATCTTTTTATTTATAAAAATTTTGAAATAAGCAATACATGTACATAGTAAAAAATTGTACAGAGGTGATACAGTGAAATGTTACTCTCTTTTGGTAGTTTAGAGGAAGCCTGAAGAATATGCCAGGAAGATTAAGGAAACTAAAGATATTCCTGCTGTGGCTCTCATGCCTCCAAATACGGTGCTTGCCAAGGTAGATGCTCTCTCATTTGGCATGAAGGAAAGGATAATCTTCCCTCACTATTTTTTGTAAATCTATGTTTTATAGACAATTTTCATTCTCAGTATTTCTGTGTCTTCATGGGTAACACAGTGGAAAGAAAACTGCACTGAGAGAAGAGCTGGAGTCTAATCCTAGTGGTTTTATTTATTAGCTGTGTGACCTGGAATAGATCAAGCTGGGGCTCATTATCCCACTGTAAGATGTCTAGTAACACCTATGTCACAGAACTGATCATATTAAATGAGATAATGTACCTGAAGATGCAGACCATTTTTACAAATGTTAGTGCGCATTATAATTAGAAAAATAATCATTAGCTCTTTCAAAAAACAAGAAAAACCTGTTCAAAATATAGAGAAATTTACCAATGGTCATTACTCATCCTAATAATGAGTACTATTTGTTCCATTTCATGTAAGTATTAGAACTATAGATTCAGCAGTACACATGACGCTGTGTGGGTGTGTGTTCAGTAAGTGGCAGGGACTTGTGAGTTCCGGCATTCAGTATGTGTTGGTAAATGTGCAGGACTTCAGAGGTCTGTCTTTATTCATCCATCCAACACTCATTGAGCATCCACTGTGTGCCAGGCACTTAGCTAGACACTGAGGAGACAAAAAACAATCAGTGCTGGGTGGTGTGTGTGTGGCAGAGCCCTGGAGAGGTAGGGAGAGGGAACACCAAGGAAACAGATGACTCCAGGGGACAGTGAGTGCTGGAACCTGGTAAGCACAGGGTGCTTGTGAGCACTCTGGAGGGACTCTGACTGGGGGAGGAGACGAGGACAGCAGCAGGGAAAGCGCGCAGAGTAGGGAGGGTCTCGCCTGGGTTGGGTGGGAACGGTAGGAGTTAGCCAAGAGAAGGAGGCCGTGGAGGGGTGGGTGTTTTAGATGACTGCCCTGTTCCACAGATAGGAATAGAGAGCAAGATCTGTCTGTCTGGGGTCTTTGCTGAGACCCCTTGAGGAACCTGTGAAGAACACTGGGGCTCCAGAGCCAGACAGGCCTGGACCCAAGTCTCACCACGCACGTACCGATGCTGTGGCTCCAGGCAAATTATTCGGCCTTTGTAAGCTTCAACTCCCTCATCTGTAAAAAGAGGATGACAACCTACCCCCACGACTGCTATGGAAATTGGATGAGAAATGTATCTCAAGTGCTGAGCACAGTTTTTTGCACCAAGTTAGAACAATAATTGGAGAGAGTTTTTTGTTTTTTCCTTTTTGTTTGTTTTTCCCCATGTGTTTATTGTCTGCAGTCGGAAAGTCTGCACTCAGATCCCTGTTGGCTCTGCCACCACTGGTGATGGGATGTTTGGCAAGTGATTTAACCTCTCTAAGCCTCAGTTTTCATATTGATGAAGTGCAGATAATAATAAATAGTATCTATGCCAGAGGGTTGTGGTGAAAATTGAATAGGACAATTAATGTAAAGTACTTAACCCAGTGTTTGGCACTTTGTAAGCATTCAATTAATGTTAATTGTTGCTTGTTATTTCATTTTTGTTATTTGCCAGTCCTCATTAGAATTTTGTCATAGAATGAAGTTTCTTTACTAGAAAATGCCGCAATGACCTTGCTTTGAGCTCTGTGTTTAACATCTCTGCATTTTAGGTTCGCTTATTAATTTCCCCATCAGCTCCATTTTCAGAATCTTAAAGATGGTATGTTTTAAATATTGTAAAGTTAGAAAATGTTAAAGAAAACTTTTTTTTTAATTTTTTATTTATTTTTATTTTTTTATTTATTTTTATTTTTTTCCCC